ATAATAGTTACACAGTGAGAATAGTCCTTATCTGTCAAGCCTGAGGCATGGCACACTCTCTAGGTTGTCAGGCCCTCAGCAAAGGTCATGTCAGCCAAACTAGCAACAAACCTTCGAAGGGCAAGCAGTTGCCAATGTTTTGTAAAGAAGGGGCAGAGTGTGGCCCCTTTGGGTCGTCCAGCAGGCAAGCTGGGGACTGAGAAGTTGAGTGTGTGCCCATCAGACCCAGGTACTGTGTGAGAGGCTGAGAGTGTCTGGCTCTAATACTTCAGCATCTCGTGCAGTCACGGCATGAGGTTCAGTGAGTTAAATGCCATGGATGGAAGGGCGTTTACATGATGAAAAAGAGAGCCCAAAGGTGGCTGTGGGGGAGAATGCCCGTCATCCCAGCTACTTGAGAGGCTGTAGCAGGAAGAGGATAGATCAAAGCCAGATAGAGACGAGCCTTCCAGCATGTTCTCTAACACTTGCTTTTACCATTGGCTGATCCGCATGCCTCCCATCTACCACTCTTTTACACTTCCCCTCACTCTCTGTCCCTTTGTCACTCTGTCCTTGTGCACTCTGTATGCATGACCAGACTCTCCCAAGCCTCTGTGCTGTTGTCTCCACTTCCAGACCACCCTGAAGTCATGATTCACACTCTTTACCAGACCACACTGTCAGGCCTTTCTCAGAGTTGAATGAGACCCAGTGAGGAAGGTCTGTAGAGCTGGCCATAAAGGCGTGCAGATCAGCCTTGCTTCTTTACCCTCACTGAGCCCTGCCTACTTGTTGTGCGACACTATTCCTGAAGAGGTCTGGACAAAGGACTATTCAGCTCAAATAGGGAATCAACACCAGTCCAAAATATGGATACCACCAAAGCCCAACTTGGCAAACCAATGAGCTTATTGGTGTTACTTACAGGAGCAGAAATGACCTAAAGACAAATGAATCATTAAAGCCTACCCCAGCTTGAGTGACAGCTCCCAAAAGCTAGGAACCAGGACCCTACTGCACAGCCTATAGGAGGCTCAGTAGGCTGGAGGGTATCTCTTCTAGGGAGTTTGGCTCATCTAAGGATATCTCTCAGCAGTCTTTACTGCTTGTATAACCTTGGGAAAACTGGAGCTTTGTGTGTCTGCTCAGTTTCAGGAACTTCCTGAGATAAACTGTGTACTTTCTGATTCTTACTGAGCTTCCTTTTAGAACTCAGTCATAAGCTCCCAAGATAAAATTTTAGGAAATTGTTGTACAACACCACCAGTGTTACTGTTTCTTCCCAGGCCTCACCCCACCCACAATCTGTCTCATAACCAAACCCAGAGAATGTTACTCAGTCCACCCAATCCCCACACTGCAGATGGCTCCCTTTCTTAGGTCACTTTTGTATGCTCCTCCCACTTTTCATAGCCTTGCCTCTCACACCTTGTCCCCTTCAGAGGCATAACTGTTATCTATCCCCAAATACTTACACTCTTAAGCTCCAATCTTGGGGCTTTCCTTCCTACATAGCAGACAACTCTCCACCTGACAGAACAGACTCTTAATTGAAACTGAAGTATTAATTTTAAAGAAGAATCATGAGCTGAGTGGTGATGACACACACCTTTAATCCCAGCACTCAGGAGACAAAGGCGGGCCTCTGTGAGTAAACTCTGAGTTCTAGGCCAGCCTGGCCCACACAGTCTGTGGTGCCCAATTATTGGAGGGCCCTCATATGAAGATGGTGCACCACTGGCCACTGAGGGGAAGAGCTGCATAGTGCCTTTGGGAGCTTGGGGTGCTATCTGAGTTGGAGCCCTGGGTTAGGGATCATGAGCAAGAAGGTCTTGGTGGAAACCAAAGTGAGAATTACTTACTCTGGGAGCCTATGCAGCAACCCCTCTGTGTGTTTGAGGGAACAGAGTTCAGGACCCCCTCAGCTACCTAAATCTGTAGATGCTCAAGTCTTTGCGGACACTTTTTTTTGTTTTGTTTTGTTTTGTTTTGTTTTGTTTTGTTTTGTTTTGGTTGGATTGGTTTTTCAGGACAGTTTTTGTTTGTTTGTTTTGTTTTGTTTTGTTTTTATTTCTGTGTAAGTTGGCTACAGGGGAAATGCAGCTTGCACTGGGGCCTGAAGTTCAAAGTAAGATTGGCAAAAGGAGCGGGGTCAGCAGTCAGGTGGGGAGAGCCTGTCAATGGAATATACCGGGCAGAAGTGAGGCTGCAGATAAGTGCCTGCCCTTCTCATCAACAGGGCCTCCTAAAGGCTACCATGCTGAGTGAAATATCCCAGTCCTGGAGAGTGGGGTGACACAGAGTAAGGCTGACTCGGCGCGCCTGCATTTGGTTCAACCAGGCTGGGACTGAGCATGCTGACTATCTCGGTGGCTGTGGCCTGGCCTGGGATGGCTGGAGTGGATTGGGTCATCCACTCTATGCTGTGGGATTCTCTGTGTGGCCTCTGTGACACTGCGCCTGGAATGTGCCCAACTCTACAACTAGCCCATGAAATCACATGCAGGTGTCTTGATTCTTGACTTTTGAACAAATGTTGTGCATGTTCCAATTGCTTGTGAATCCCAGACCCTTCCTCATCCCCCACCCTGAAGTGCATGAGGTGAACCACAAGCCTCCTAGATACCTCCTTTGTTGGCTGGAATGTCTTAGAGATACTGCATGTCACTCTGACTGGAAGTGTCTAGAAGTGTGTGTGTCTTCTTTTTGGTCATCTCATTTGAGATCTGCTGCATATTCATCACCAAGTACTTGTGTCGGGACACTCCACCTCCGACAGCCCCATCATTTCTGTGACAGCGCGATCATTTTTTCAAGCGAACTCAAAAGTCCTTTGTCTAGTTTAACTTTCAACCACATCACAGGTGGCACACACCTATCTGAGCGCTTAATCAAGTGAAGTGGCAGGACTGAAAGTTCAAACTGAACTTGAGCCATATAGAAAGACTCTTAATTAATTAATTAATTAATTAATTAATTAAAAAGTAAAAAACAAATAACTATGTTTATTGTTTATTATGAAGGTGAAGGGAGTTGGTGCTGGATCACTGTCAGAGTGCCTTGACTGGTATGTACAAGGCCCTGGGTTTGATTCTTAGTGTAAAAAGTAGTGAATGGAAGCTGAAAATTCTCAAGGTTATGGATGAGATGAGTCTGTAGAAAAGGGTCTAATGGCCCACCAGATGCCCACATCCTATTCTCTTGGGCCTGGGAACATGCTGGGTTACATGGTACAGGTGAGTTAAGTTGAAAACAGAACTAAAGTTGTATGGTGGGTTGAATTGCAGCCTCTTTGTAAAGACAAATATGTTAAAGTCCTAATACCCAGAAGGCTAAGAGGTGATCCTACTTGAAAATAAGGTCACTGCAGATGTAATTAATCAAGATGAGGTCATGCTGGAGTAGGGTGGGCCACCCATCTGATGTCCTCATGAGAAGGTAGCTGGGCAGTCACAGGGAGAAACTCCGTGTGAAGAGGAAGACAGAGACTGGGGTGGTGCCCAGGATCGCCAATGATTGCCAGCTCTTCCTAGAGCCCAGGGGAGACCTATGTAGTAGATTTCCATCTCGCTCTAAGGCTTGGAAAGGCTATCAAACCACTTGGTTAATAAGTGTTATGTGCCTGTCAAGTTTTTAGGGGCCACAAGTGAAAAAAAAAATGACCTAAGCTATAGTTGTAGTATAAATTACTACAGAGCACCTTCCCTAAATTTGAGGATTTGAAACTTCGACTGCACTGCAGTGTTGATGGTACAGTCATTTCTAAATGCTTAAGAGAGTGGAGGAAGGCCTTCTGCAGCCATAGTTCTTCCTGTGAAATGAAATGATTGTTTTCAGCTGCCAAAAAATAAAAAAAGGAAGGAAGGAAGGAGAGGGAGAGAGAGAGAGAGAGAGAGAGAGAGAGAGAAAGAAAGAAAGAAAGAAAGAAAGAAAGAAAGAAAGAAAGAAAGAAAGAAAAAGAAAAAGCAATAACAAAAATGGTAAAGGATGTAGAAACTCATTTTCTCCTTATGCCTCATTGGAGTATTTGTTAGAGAAACAGAAATATGTCCTCCATATAAACTTTGACACGTTTACATATGTGGCACAGTGACCCTGTAGGATGCTTAGCACATATCTTAAGTGGGAACAGAGAGATGCACGTTTACAGATGATTGAAACAGTGGATTGGGTGGACAGTTTTTAAAAAGCATTTTCAAGTGCCAGCCTCAGCACCATTTCCCAGTGGCCAACAAGATGTCATCACCAGGAGTTGCTGTCTCTAGTTACAGGCTCCTCAGGCCATGGAAAGCAGGGAGGACCTGGTCTTGGTGTACGCATTCAGGCACTGGAGAGAATTTTGTGCAGACTGTATCAGTCAGCTAATGCTGTGGTAACAAACACCACAGTGCCTTAAAACAGTGTTGGGTTCTCATGGCAGAGGACAGGAAACAGAATCAACCAGTTTGAAAGTGTCTGTTGGATTTGGGGGAGGGGATGGCTGGAGAGAGAGCTTAGTGATTAAGAAGGCTTGTTCCCCAAATACGAAGATCAGAATTTGCATCCTAGCACCCACATAACGAGGTGAATGTCACTGCAAATACCCATAATTACAGCTCCAGGGGGAGATGGAGACAGGAAGATTGCTGGCACTTTCTGGCTTCTAACCTAGCCAAAATGTTAGCCCACAGTTCAAGAGGAGACCCTGCCTGTGAGGCATAGGTGAAAAGAAATGGAGGACAATACCTTCTGGCCTGCACACATACACCAACACATGTGTATACATGTTCTTGCACACACACATGGCTCTTTTTAAGCTGCTGTTGGCACATGGCCAGCTTCGAGTCCACTCCTACTCCATCGAACTAAGCGTGTTCCCAAACCAAAGGGCCCACTGAACTGGATGGCAGCTCCGGTCACTCTCTGTCTGAAGCTCTGGAACTATCTCCAGAATTGAGGACAAAGCTTCCCAGATCTGTTTCTTTCCCCACTCACCCACTGCCAGGATTTTTCTTACTGTCTTTTCTCCCTATGGGCAGGTGGGTGGCCGGTCAGTGGAGCCCCTGCTCGGCAACCTGTGAGAAGGGCATCCAACATCGGGAGGTGACTTGCATGTACCAGCTACAGAACGGCACACATGTCACGACTCGGCCCCTCTACTGCTCAGAACCCCGGCCGACACCAGTACAGAGCTGTGAAGGCCAGGACTGCCTGTCTATCTGGGAGGCCTCAGAGTGGTCGGAGGTGAGTGAGTGCCTGGGCTCGCCACTGAGGCTGAAGCCAGGCAAGGGCCTATAGGCCTTAACCACAGGGCCCGCTGTGCGCCATCTGCTCCAGGGCATTTGTAACTCATCCCATGTACCACAGTCCTCTCCTGCACCATGACCAGCTCACAAGTGACTTCCAGTTCCTATTTCCTTAAGCTCCATCTAAAATAGCAACATGAATAAAAACAGACAAACGTGCATAATATGGTTTTGAGGATGGATAGGTACGCTACAGGGAAAGTGATATCCAACTCCATTTCATGTGCAAATTCCCACCCAGAGATGACAGAAGGACAGATGATCGATTAATGCATGTATGTGCATGCATACAAATCACCCACTGGCCTTTTTGTTTTTCTTCAGATGTGGTTGGATTGTAATATGGTCCATTTGAGTAGCCTATTTCAAAGTCATCCCTGCAGAGCCAAAGAAGCCTTTCAAAAGTTGCAAAAGTCAGATGCCGGGAGGAACAGCCTTTGGTAGGCAAGTCAGAGCTACAAATCTCACACCAAAAGACATGTTGAAAAGAGGTCAATCAAGGCCTAAGTTCTAAGGAGGAAAGCCTGTCCTGGAAATACTGTTTTATCTTTGGTGATATTATCTTTCAGGGCTTTGCCTTGACATTGCAATTATGTTGATTGTCTGGATATAAAACAAACAAAAAATAGCTAAATAAACGGGATTCCTTGAGTTCCACCAAACCTGGAGGGGTCTAGGAAACTTAAAGAGGCTAGATCCAAAACACTCTTCAGTATGGAAAATATTTTTAGAGTTCTCTTTGATTGCCAAACAGAATTATTTTGAATAAAAAAGTATTTGGCCCATTTCTAATGAACAGAAAACCTGCCATTGGCTGCTCTGAAAGTTTAATTTCAGAAAAATTCTGAAATGTACCCATTTAAGGACCAGAGTTCTTATCCTGCCCTTTGTGATATTTGATGAAAAGGGGAAGGTTTAAAATGGGTTGATTTTTTTCTTTATGTACTCTTAGGCTTCTGGTTTATTATTTGTGGGGATTCTTTCTCTATATTGAGGTAGAGGCATGTGAACGACCCCTCCCCTCTCCCGCAGGATAGGTGATTGCTTCTACGGCATTGGCCACCTTCATCTCAATCAAACAAGATCTGTGCTTGAATCAGATCAAATCCCCACATTTTCCACTCAGACTCTTCCCCATGGTAAAAATAAAATCCTTTCTTACCTAAAGAAAGTCTCATCACCAGAAGGAAGGCCACCACATGGGAAGCGTGACCCACCAGAGCAGGATGTAAAGACTTTCCTCCCCGCCCATCTCTTTTGCACACGCCTGATACTAATCCTGAGCCAGTGTCCACTCCGGTCCATCTAATGCCTAGTGCCTAGAACACAGAATCTCATGATCCCTGGAACAGTCCAGAAAGCCAGTATTCTGTCCTCTACTGTGTGCCAGCGTCCCTTCTGCTAGGAACCATCTTTCATTTTCTCATGGGAGAAGAGACTTGGAAACTTTATTCACCCAGCAGTATTGGTCAGCCCCACCAGCCACCTTCTCCCTAGCTTCTTTGTGGTTTTACTGGGAGGAGGATCAAATATCAGAAGGAAATAAAAAGTTACTGGGAGTTCTCCAGCTTCTTGGGCCCATCCTGAGGAGAAGAGAGACCAAGCCTCACCTTCATGGGCCCATTAAAGGCAACATGCCGCTGCGCCTGCCCTTCCTCAGGGCTGAGAGCCTCAAGGGAATGAGCTACTAATCAAAGAAGGGAGAGCCAGGCCTTGTCCACAGCTGGACGGCGGTGATTAAAATGCCAGAGAGCAGCCAGAAACACAGCCTAGAGTAGGAAAACACGGGACCTGACCTCAGGCAGAGAGGGTAACTTGGCCCTGTAGTTGCTGAAGAGCTAGTGCTGTGGGCACAGGTACCAGGATACAATCCACAAGTTCAGTGATAAAGGTGGAGTTGCCAAAGTGGTCGGGAAATTTGTACATGGAGAAACACTGCCACATGGAGAAAAGGGCCAGGCTTTCAGTGCAGAAACCGTGACTACAGTGACCTGGTTCCCTTCAGTGGCCTCCCTGGGTGGGGAGACCCAGTGTCTTGAAGTCTGAGGTCTGTTTCAACTAGCCCTTTACCAGTGCCACACGCACACACGCGTGTGCCTCCCCAGCTCTTCTAGGTGACCCCACAGCCTGTTTTGAGGCGCGTGTGTGCCTTCGGAAACGAGTCAAGATTAGTTTCAAAGCACCACGGAAGGAAGAGTTTACACAGGGCTGGAGAGATGCCTCAGTGGTTAAGAGCGCAGGAGGCTCTTACAGAGGACCCAGGTTCCATTTCCAGGTCATGGCAGTGATGTGGGAGGCCACTCCACAGCAGACTTCAGGACCTTGGGCTTCCTGACAATGAACTCAACGTTCTGAAAGTTCCAGCATGTTCAGAACACACACACACACACACACACACACACACACACACACTCATACACACACACTCACACAAAGGATAAGCATTATTCCTGACATTTCTGTAATTGATGTTTATCCTAAAATGTTACCTAACTGCCTTCCTCCTATGAACTCTTTTATTTAAAACTTTATGTGTACAGATGCACCTGAGGGTATGGATGTGCCCCACACATGTGACGGTGTATTCAGAGTCCAGATGAGGGCATCATATCCCCCCGGAACTGGAGTTACCGTCAATTGTGAGCCTCTGTGTGGGTGCAGGAAACCAAACTGGATCCTCTGCCAGAGCCTCCTGCGCTCCCTCTTGTTGCCTGAGGACACTGGAGCCTTGAGCTCTTGAGGGCTTGATCATCATCTGTGACCCTCAGGCTCCACCCAGATGCCCTCTTCAAGCTATTCCTTGCAGTATCTTCCTAATAAAGGAAGGAAACTACTGTGTGGACTGTTGCCATCTCCATTCTTGGCTGAAATCCTGAGACCTTACCTTATGAGAAACGCCCATGGCTTCTAACTGTTGCCTCCTTTTCTGACGGAGATCTTTTCCTTGTATCTCGGGAGGCCAGCTAGCTCAGACTCCTTTGCTGCCAGAGCCTCACCTGGCTCCAGCTGGCCCCTGCTTCTCCTGCCAGGTCATGTTATGTTTGCCCATTGAACTCCTGCCCTGCATTGATCTTTTAGACCTGGCGACTGGCTGTTACATCCCATTTCCCTCATTTGACCACCTGAGTACCATGAGTTCTTCCTGTACCATTCCTGGTCACCTGGCCGGGGTCCCCTGAGGGTTTAGGAAGACTGTGAAGAACATGAATTTGAGGCTGGATTACATAGTATCATGTCTGCTTCCCCACTCTGGGCCTGGCGCACAGTGGGTACTTCAATTGCTGAAAATAGTTCATAGATATTTGCTTATTATTCATCTGATCACTCCTTTCCACACCATTCTTGGAGTCTCCATCCTGGTCCCCGTAGTTCTTTTTCCATGTAATCCATGGCGGCTTCCTCCTTCCTCTCCTCTTCCTTCTGTCTCCTTCAAAGATCCTCTCTCAAGTCCTTGAACCTTAGCTCTGCCCACCTCACCTTTGTCCTGCCCAGGTGTTAGATTTTTATTGGTCAAACAGGAATAATTTCTTAGGCAAGGTTGATATAAGGACCAGGATATGTGAGAATGTATTCATCCAAGCAGGGACCAGGTTGGGGGGGGGGGGCAGTATTAGCATTAAAAGACATAGCACCCGACCAACCCCAACAGACTTCAGTGGCTTTAAGTGACTTGAGCTGAATTAGAATGTATTTAAACCCCCCTGCTGTGCCTTGCAGTGCTCTGCCAACTGTGGCAAAGGAATCCAGAAACGGACTGTGACGTGCACCAACTCCCAAGGGAAGTGCGATGCGTCCACAAGGCCAAAAGCAGAGGAGGCCTGTGAGGATTACTCCGGCTGCTATGAGTGGAAAACCGGGGACTGGTCTAAGGTGAGAACAGCGTGCTGGACTCCCATCCTGCCACGGCAGTGTGAGCTAGCATGAGCTCCCATTCTGCTGGAGAATCCTAACGAGGCAAGTTCTCTCCTCAGTGCTGTACTCACTATTGACCCGGCATCCATCCATCCTGCTCTTTCCAGCCAGCGGCACCGGCACAGGGCCCACCCACTGTGGCATATGCACCCGGAAGCAAATCAAACGCAGCCCGAAGTGCACACAGTGGGTGTTCTCACCAGCCCGGCTGCCCTTTGCCGCGTGCTTGTGGTACCCCAGCAAACTGCCATGAACCTAAGCACGTAGGTACCCATCACAAAAGCCTCACAAGTCTGGGAGCTAGGTTGAGGCACCCCCATTTCAAGGCCTGTGAAGTGCCATTCAGTTCTCAGGGAAGAGCCTAGACGATGCAGGGTAGAGAGGGCGGGAGTCCTTGAGACAGACGCTGGAGAGCTGTGGAGTCAGCACCTCCAGGGGCAAGGAAGGCCCGACGGCAACTGGATGTTTCTCTAAACGATGCCTCTTTCTGAAGACTGGGTATGTACAGTTTCGCTTGTAACCCCAGTGCCGGGGAATGGAAATCAGTGGACCTTGGTGCTTGCTGCCAATCAGCCTGCCTAGCCAGGTGAAGCATGATCCCTCAGGTATCTGGCAGCCCCTTCCATGCGCACCTGCATGCGTACCTCTGTACTGAACCAACGCTATCCAGTATAGTTTATTATTATTATTTGCTGTTTGACCCATGGAAACCTTGAAGGATTCCTTTTCACTGAGGACTGAGCTCTGTGTAAGAACCAGCTTATCGCAGAGAGACACTCGGCACCTCACGAATACAGAGACTAAGTTTGCTTCTTTACGGCCTCAGTAACTGAAAACCTCTCCACACTCCTGGTGTCTCCACCCAAGGGGACCAGAAGCAGTTGTGTTTTCTTGGCCTGCACAGTCCGAACCACAAAATTTCAGAATCAGTTGCTAACGTCTAAAAATGTTTTTAAATGGTACCTGAAATTTTGGTTTGGGTTTCATCATAAAGCCTGGCAATATGTCCCAAGCAGGAAGTTTGGTTCTGCCTCTGGCTTCTGAGAGAAGAAGTAGCCTGTCCACTGGAAAACTGTACCTCTAGGTTCTGGTACCTGCAGAAATGCCCATGCTGTCCCCAGCCTGTGTCAGAATAAAGGCCAGAGGTTTATTCCCTACCCCCAGACAAAATCTGTGTACCACAGAAACATGGTTGTTAGTGAAGTTCAGCACGAAGCTACCAGAGTGAATCTCAAGTAGAAAAATCTAACTTCAAAGCCACTGAAGAGAACTCTGCAGCCCTGAGGAGCAATGATCACTGAGTGGAGTCAGCAAGCCATAGGTGTACTGTTCCGACCCTCCACGCATGCATCTCAGTCTTTCTCATCCTCGGCTTGTATCTCCAATGGGAATCACAGAGACTGTCCTTGCCTGTTGGTCAAAGATGTTTGTGCATTCCAAGGTGTAGATGAGGACTAGTCTTAGACAGCTCAGCTTGGCTGCCTAAAACACATCACTAGTTCATACTGTTGTGGCCTCAGAAACAAGGCTGTTCTCATCCAACTTGACTAGACCTCATTTATCAAGCTTCCCTGAGCAAGGCAGTCCAGACTCATCCTGGAGAGATTTGGTGACCTCTCTGGCCACAAGTAGTCCTGTCAGGAGGTAGGGGTGAGCTCTGGGGCCACACAAGCCCATCTGCTATTAGGGGATACGTAGTGATTGTTTCTTCTCTGTTCTGTATCCTATGTCTACATTCTTCTCAGCCAGCTTCCTCACTCCTCTCATTCAGAAAAGATGGAGGCAATTAAGCCACTTGCCAACAGTCTTCTGGCAGAGTCCAGAAGACTCAATTTAGTGCTCAGGTACAACCACCAAACTAGACAACTCTGTGGGTAAAAAGGAAGGTGTATCGGAGCATCAAAACTGCCAGGCTGGGCAGAGAGAACAGAAGGTGGGTAGCCTTGCCAGTTTTAAGGAGGTATGTTGCAGGTAGGAGGAGGTGTATAAGCTGGAACATACTGAGAACTAGAATAGTGTGGGCAGGGGACATCATGGGCCTGGGAGCTAGTGCGTGGATTTTGATCTGTTATAGGCTTATTGTCCCATTGTCTAAGGTAGTTGTCTATTGGGCTTGTGTATAAGACTCTTCTGACAAACAAAAACCTAATTCACAAGGTTTCTGAGGAATGCTGAGTTTAGGTGGCAATCCATTTACCTAGTCAGAGTCAAGCCTGAGCTGAGCCCAGACTGTCATTTAGGACATTGTCATCAGTGCTGCCATTTTGGGGTCCACTTTGAACCTAACATTCTAGCCTCTTGTTGATGGTAAGGGACAACTGTAGTCTTCTGACTGAATGGGAATGTCATGGGGATGGGAAGGTCTTAAGAAAGCTGGAGTGCAAGTCATAGGTGTGGAGTCAGACAGGCAGGCTATGGTAAGAGTCCTGGAGAAGTTCTATCAGGAACATCTGACATACTGACCATTCAGTTATTTTACCAATTCTTTTCTGAAAGAACCTGAACAAACAAGGAGCAATCGTTATTACAAGAAGTATAGTATCAGTGGGCCAAGGAGCTTGAAGGACCCAGGAGCTCCATCCAAGGAAGACCAAAAGGAGAGGGCCCCACATAGGAGTAGGTCCCTGAAGGCTGGAGTTCATGAGCCAGCTCCTGTCAGTCGTTAGTCCTTCCTTCTACTTGGCCAGGCTGGTTCACATAGCAATATTCTTCATCGAGGAAGAGGCAACAGGCCTCCTTTTCTGGCTCTCAGCAAGTTGAGGGCTTGCCAGTTTTGTAGGATCACCAGAGCTAATGAGGTGAGCTGGTTTGGGAGCAGCCTTAGGGCCAAGGTTGAGTCCTGGATGGTGTCTGCCAGCTGAGTGGCTAACTGCTGTGGTAGATACAGACTATAAACAGAAGGTAAAGTTAAGGAGCTTCTGGTGGCGGGAGAAGGGATCTTTATTTTAAACCTGCATTTCAAACTTCTAGGCCTGGCACTGCCTGGAGGGTCAAGAAGACAGAGAACACCCAACAGGGCAAGGAGGAAAGAGCCCCACCTCATAGCTAGGCGGAGGGTCAGAGAGCTTAAGCTTTGGGAGTACCACTGCCTGACAGGTGTACTTATCAGACAAGGGATCCAGAGGTCATTGGAGCTGGGATAGGTGGGGCCAAGTCACGACTCCTGAAGCTTACATGGAATTTTTTAAGTTGACAGAAAGCGATAAAAGCTCTCCATCTATCAGCAGGACCATTGTCTGTTTTAATCTGTATCAAAGCCCTTGCACAGAAAGCCATTAGCAAATGTCTGCAAACAGTTCGAGCAGACTCGTGTTTTGAGCCACAGCAAAAATAACAGCCTGAGAAATTATCAACACAGACACGAGCACTCATCTCTAATAAGACAGACATTTCCTGGCAGGAATGAGAACAAAGGGGAAGAAAGCTTGAGGGCCCAAAAGACTGTTCTAGGACAGAAGGGTGAATCCTCTTTCCTCTGTCCTACTGCCCTCATACCACCACCTTAAGGCTGAATAGACATGGATTGGACAGAGCCATTTCTAGCACAGTGAGAAGCATTTTTTAAGTCTACATTTAAAAAGGAAAACAATCAAAGGAACAAATTTTGAGCCTATAACAATGATAATTTTAGTTGTTTAATTAACTATTGAAAAAGCTTTCACAGCCAGTGCTTATAACTATCACTAAGATAGAAGAACTTATCACAATTCCATTTATTGATGTGTTGAACTTTGAACTTTTAATAACATGTATATCATCCGTAAGTAACATTTCTCAGATGCCTTCAATCACTCCTCAGACCATCGTGACTTTTATATACCTTATTTTTCCTTTCCTTTCCATTCTGGAAACATCCAACCATCTTAATCTCTACATTTTTACTATTCCTCTCTATCTGGAAATATTCAATCATTTACACAGGTGTAGATGCTTGATTATTGAGAGTAGTCACTGAAAAGGCAATCTTTAAAGTTGGTAACAACAGCATGTTAGCTCTGGGTTTGCTTTCTTTCCTCCCTCCCCCCGACACGGTTTCTCTGTGTAGTCTTGACTGGCCTAGACTCACGCTGTAGACTGGACTGGCCTTGAACTCACAGAGATCCACTTGCCTCTGAATGCTGGGATTACAGGCGTATGCCACCATGCCCAACCTGAGTTTACTCTTTAATTGAAAGCTGACCCATCTTGGCAAGGCAAAGGGCGACAGTCAACTGCCCAGTGTCCAGACTCTACATAGTTTGTGCAGAGTCCTGTTGGTAGGCGAGGTAAAAGGCAGTTCTTTGCCCAGTAACTGGTGTTGCCACACTGAAGCAGGTTCCAGGTGGAATCCATTCGTATCTTGTCCCCTTTGGAGGTGGCCTCCGGTTGCTGCCAGAAGCTGGTATTTCTGTCCATCATGAGAAGACTCTTCTCTTTTCCTGCTTCTCCCTCCCATTAAACACCTTAAATGCCATATTCAGATCTTTCTGAGGGGTTTGAGGGCTGTCAGCTGGCTTCTTGAGTTATTTATTTTCACATACCTGATTTTGAATATTAGTTACATTAAACAGACTTTGATTTTACTTTAAATTTGTTTTTGAGTCTCTTGCCTCAGGCTTAACTTTAACAACATATGCAGAAGACTATATATAGTGGGAGATATTTAATGGTCTACAAGTCCTGAGATAAAGAAATCTTCATTTCAGCAAAAGCTTTAAAGACATCCATGACTTTAAATAGGGAATATTTTAGCAAATAAAACTAAGAAAGTGGGGTGAGAATATTCAGAGAGCTAAACATCTGTGATTACATTTAGCCATTAGTGACTTCTATTGGAAATAGTTTATCTCAAGAGTATAGTGTCTTTTTCCTGAGCTTTTCTGTTTTGTTTTCTTTCTCCCTGTCACAGACTCAGGTGGCTAGCCTGGCCCAAGACAAAGGCTTTGGAGGGAACATGCTTGGGTCTAAGGTTGGCAAAC